CCTTTAGCAAGTCTCGGGTACTAAAGACATTTGACTTAATTTCATGTATTACACATGGTTACCTGGTTTCCCTTGGCAACCTCCAGTTCCGCCCTACTATGTAATTAGAGGATGGCAGGATACATTGCAGACTTGATGACATTACCTGAAAGTGACTTGTGGAGAACAGAATTTGCTTCAAAAGAAGAGACACAGTGGTCACTAAGAAAAGACAGAAGAGTCTGAGATCCCTTAAAGAAGAGACAGATAGTTTTCTATAGCTCAGATTTCATTGAATCTGGAGGTTTCAGAACTAGCTATAGCAAAGCAGTTTGGAAATATGATGGAATGAGATCAAGTCCTGTAAATCTTTTAAGGGATAAATCTGAATTTTATTATTTGTAAAGTACAGATAAGGTTTCAGTTCAACAACAGCATTAATTACCATTTATTCAGTATTTGCCAGGAATATGACTTGGGTCTTTACAAACACATTAAATCCTCACAATATTCCTGCAAGGGAAGTATTAATATTTTTGTATATATAAGGACATGTGTTTATTGATCTCTTAAAGAATGAGGCTGGGCCAGGAGCGGTGGCTCATGCCTGTAATCCCAGCACTTTGAGAGGCCAAGGCAGGTGGATCACTTAAGGTCAGGAGTTTGAGAACAGCCTGGCCAACATGGTGAAACCCTGTCTCTACTAAAAATATAAAAATTAACTGGATGTGGTGGCGGGTGCCTGTAGTCCCCAGCTACTCAGGAGGCTGAGGCAGGAGAATCGTTTGAAACGGGGAGGAGGAGGGTGCAGTGAGCCGAGATCATGCCACTGCACTCCAGCCTGAGCGACAGATCGAGACTCTGTCTCAAAAAAAAAAAAAAAGAAAGAAAGAAAAAGAATGAGGCTGAAGGAAGGGCAGGACAAAATTAATGACAAAGTTTCAGTTTTAGGAGACCATTCTTTTTTTTTTTTTTTTGAATGCTCCCTAAGTCCCACAGGTCTCAATAGTGTATTACAAAACAGTTTAATAACAGTGTCTTTAAATGATTACCTTTAGCCATCCAGAAAAGTTTAAATAACAATCATCTTAGTAATCCTCTCATTGTACGCATTAGAAAATTGAGTCCCAGAAATTAAGTAAAACCTAAAGTTAGGTTTCTGTATTATAATACTATGATACTGTCCGGGCACAGTGGCTCGCGCCTGTAATCCCAGCACTTTGGGAGGCCAAGGTGGGTGGATCACGAGGTCAAGATATTGAGACCATCCTGGCCAACATGGTGAAACCTGTCTCTACTAAAATACAAAAATTAGCTGGACATGGTGGCATGCACCTGTAATCCCAGCTACTCAGGAGCCTGAGGCAGGAGGATTGCTTGAACCCAGGAGGCGGAGAGGGCATTGAGTCAAGATTGCCCCACTGCACTCCAGCCTGGGTGACAGGGTGGTTTTTTCCACCCTGGGTGATTTTTTTCCATCTCAAAAAAAAAAAAAAAAAATTACCATGATACTATGCCCATGCATTTTGAAATAAGGCTCGAATAAATGAGAGAAAAGAAGGAAGGGGTCTTGTAATACTACTATTATAAATGGTATTAGGTTGAGCTAGCAGAGTAAACAAACTAACAAATCAGAAGGTACTGGTGAGACATTCAGGCACTGGTGTTACGGGATCCTTGGGGTGTTGCTTCGCCAGCTAGAAGCCTCTGTGGACAGTGGCGTCTTTGCCCGAGTTTTTCTCTGGCCTGCTAGGCTAGTTCTGCCCACTCGGCCTGGGAGGCTATGCCTGGGTCCCATGCCTGCCAAGAGCAAGCCAGGCGTGGAGTAGCGAGGGGTGTGTGAATGAGGATGGGGTCCAGCCATTGCACACAGCAGGCACGCTGGCTGCAGTGGGGCAGGCAGCTCCAGGGGCAGGCATGGCTCCCTGTGAAGCTGCGGCTGGACCAGACATACCATAAACAGCTTACACAGCTGACCCCGGGGAATATGGTGGCACCTGGAAACTTGGAGACGCTAGAAACCGCAGAGCCCTAAAGAGGGTGTCACAGCCCTGGCTCAGGGAGCTCCTCGGTCTGGGTTCCGGACCACACCTCTTCTCTTCCTCTCTCCTCTCTCCTCTTCTCGTCCCCACCGTGGTGAGCAAGGGGCGTGCTTCAGCCCTGTTTGTTTTACAGCTCTTTTAGTCCCACCATTCATCAGGTCCCAAGTTCTTGTCTTGCGTCCAGGAAGAATGTGGTATGCAAACATGTGGAGGATGAGCAAGATGAAAAGGAGCTTTATGGGCATGGTGGCGGGCGCCTGTAGTCCCAGCTACTCGAGAGGCTGAGGCAGGAGAAACACTTGAACTCGGGAGGCAGAGGTTACAGTGAGCTGATATCGCACACCACTGCATTCCAGCCTGGTGACAGAGCGAGACTCCGTCTCAAAAAAAAAAAAAGGAGCTTTATCAAGTGATAGAACAGTTCAGAGAAGACCTACAGTGGGTAGAGTAGCTCCTCTGCATAGCCAGGGTGTCCCGATAAGTGTTCAGCTCTCAGCAGAGAGAGTAGCTCCTCTCTACAGGCAGGTCATCCTGTCATTTCTTCACCTCTCAGCAGAGAGGGCAGCTCTTCTCTGCAGGCAGGTCATCTGTCATTTCTTCAGCTCTGAGCAGAGAGACCCTGGGGTGGGTCGCACCTCTCTGCTGCTGGTTGTCCCCTCATCTCATTGGGTCTGGCTGAGTCTAGGGCTTTATATGGGCCTCAGAGGGGAGGAAGTGTGTTCCAGTTGGTCCATGGGCAGCCATGGGTGGGCCTGGATAAAGGACCACAAGTTCCTACTCCTATCCCAGGGACTGGCAGCCCCACCCCCAGGCTTCAGGCCCTCCCCAACTTGAAGGTGGTGCTTCACTGTGGACTTGCTGCTTTCTGCCCAGGAACCTGTCTGCCTCCTGCTGCTGTTCGTTGCCCCCTGGCTGTTCCTGCCAAGGGGCGCCTGCAGGCCAGGGCCAAACTGCCCTCAACCTCTCCTCGGCCTCCCTCCGGTGCTTGTTGGTGCCTAAAGTACGCAGGGGGCTGAGGCAGCATGGAGCTGGCCTGCCAGCACTGCCCTGAGTGTGCACACACCTGGTGGGCTGCGACAGTGCCCAGGCTTAGCCCCAACCTTGCTCAGAGATTGGTGCAAGCACAGGGAGCAGGGAGAGGCCAGGCAGCGGGAGCAGACACCTCCAAGCCTGTGGGAGGAAGGGGGGGCCTTCCAGAGTCCCTGAAAGTGCAGAGATGCCTGGGTCGGCAGCCACAAGTTGGGTGAGACTCCAGGGATTGCCTGCCTCTTTGCGTTTTCCCGACAGCAGAGGCCGCCCCAGCCAACCCCACGCAAATTAACCTGACTCTGTGACGGCTGGTCCCATGAGTCCTGGCTGCGCCTTTGGCCAGGTGCTCGTGGGCTTCTGAGATGGCGATGGGGAGCAAGGTTGAGGCTGGGACGGAGGCTTTGGGCCTGAGAACAGGTCCTGGCTGGCCAAGCGAGAGCAGAGGTGGCACAGTTGGCTGCCTTGGGAACGTGGAGCACAGTGGTCCCACCGCCGCCACTGCTGCTCCCACAACCCCTCCTGCCGCCGCCACCCACACCTCCCTGCTACAGCAGGCCTGATGGCAGCAGCCACTCTGGACGGTCCACGCTGCCATCACTGGTAACAGGTTGTGCCTAGCTAGGAATTAATTTATTCTCCTTGGCTCACGTCAACCTTTCCAAGTGATCATCAGTCTTTAGGAGTCTATATAGTACCCTACTGGTCATTTGAAGGAAGTCCTGTTAGTTTAGAAGGACAGGTCTACATATAAACCACAGCACATCTATAAATTAAGCCGTGTCTTGAAGTGGATGTGAATGATAATCATTGGCCTTTTTTGGTGACACGTAGAAGCAGACTACATATGGTATATTATTGACTTATACAATGTTTCCGTCATGTTTACAAAATACTGTGTGCTGTGGGGGATATATCATTGCCTTTCTTTAAGGTGAAAACTGTGGGAGTCTAACAGGAAACAGAAATCTCAGTGTCAGTCACTTACAACGCAAAGCATTTGGCATAAATTTCTTTTCTTTTTTTTCTTTTCTTTTTTTTCTTGAAACGGAGCCTCGCTCTGCCGCCCAGGCTGGAGTGCAGCGACTCACAGAAAAGCTCCGCCTCCCGGGTTCACGTCATTCTCCTGCTTTAGCCTCCCAAGTAGCTGGGACTACAGGCCCCCGCCACCAGGCCCGGCTAATTTTTTTGTATTTTTTTTTTTTAGTAGAGACAGAGTTTCACCGTATTAGCCAGGATGGTCTCGATCTCCTGACCTCGTGATCCGCCTGTCTCGGCCTCCCATAGTGCTGGGATTACAGGCGTGAGTCACCACGCCCAGCCTGCATAAATTTCATTTAATCTGGGCCGGGCACGGTGGCTCACGCCTGTAATCCCAGCACTTTGGGAGGCCGAGGCGGGTGGATCGCTTGAGGTCAGGAGTTCAAGACCAGCCTGGCCAACATGGCGAAACCCTGTCTCTACTAAAAATACAAAAGTTAGCCGAGTGTGGTGGCGGGCACTTGTAATCCCAGCTACTCAGAAGACTGAGGTGGAAGAATCGCTTGAACCTGGGAAGCAGAGGTTGCAGTGAGCTGAGATCCTTCCATTACACTCCAGTTTGGGTGACAGAGTGAGACTCCCTCTCAAAAAAAAAAAAAAAGAAAAAGAAAGAAAGAAAAAGAAAAACACTCATACCTCATTAATGAGAAATAGAAATCTGTAAGGAGGAGGGGGATACCCCTGCTAAATTCCTAGGCCACAGTAAACCAGCATTGCAAAATAAAATCTTACCTCATTTCTGATTTTAAATGAGACTGAGGTCACTGGTAAATTTTTGAATACTAACTCATCACCTAAAAAGGGGAGTTTGATTAGCAAATAGTTAAGCACTTCAGTAATGATATTGAGACTTAATTTCACTGAACATGTTTCCCCCTTTTCTCTTTCTGGGTGTGACTAAATTGCCTACAGCATGCTGCATGGTTGCTGGTAAAACAGGAAATGGGGTAAGTAATTTAGGTAGGGAATTTTTACTACCATTTAAATACAAGCTACCTGGTTCTTAAAGTACTTTTACTACTACAATCTCTATTTTTATAGTGCATTCACTAGCTACTAGAGAAATCAGCACAAATAACCAATTTTTATTGTATACATTTAGGGCATCAACCTTGTTTCATTAGTTTATTTGCATAACATATTAGTAGTTTATTAAAGCAGATTCATTTTTTGTGTGTTTTAATATGAATGTAAATACATGTTTATATGCATTAGGTACTTATGTAATGTAGTTTGGGCAGTTATATTTTTAAAATAAATTTTATTTATTAATTATTATTATTATTATTATTATTTTTGAGATGAAGTCTTGCTCTGTCACCCAGGCTGGAGTGCAGTGGTGTGATCTCAGTTCACTGCAACCTCCACCTCGCTGGTTCAAGCGATTCTCCTGCCTCAGCCTCCCTAGTAACTGGGATTACAGGAGCCTGCCACCATGCCTGGCTAATTTTTGTATTTTTAGTAGAGATGGGGTTTCACCATGTTGTCCAGGCTGGTGTTGAACCCCTGACCTCAGGTGATTTACCTGCCTCGGCCTCCCAAAGTACTGGGATTACAGGCATGAGCCACTGCGCACAGCCTAAAAATAAATTTTATATTGGTCTTAGAAACTAAACTATAAAGCTATGTCATAAAAGATAGAAAGTGAATAACTGGCGGAACAACAATGAGTTTACACATAGGTAAGACATAGAAAACATAGATTCACAATCCTTTATCTGAAACACTTAGAGGCCAAAGATGTTTTGAAATATAAAATTTTTGGATTTTTAAAATGTGATATGATGTTAAAGATCATGTATATCATTCCTTCCTCCCCCCCAGGCTCTGGGGTGGTACTACATAATCAAACATACTGATATTTCTGCAACAAAACATATGAATATTCACAGTAAGTTTGATAAAGTCTCTAAATTGCCTCCTTCAAATCAGGATTTGATTCCCAACTGAGTTTAAAAAAATTTTTTTGGCCGGGCGCGATGGCTCACACCTGTAATCCCAGCACTTTGGGAGGCCGAGACGGGCAGACCACGATGAGGTCAGGAGATCAAGACCATCCTGGCTAACACGGTGAAACCCCGTCTCTACTAAAAATACAAAAAATTAGCCGGGTGCGGTGGCGGGCGCTTGTAGTCCCAGCTACATGGGAGGCTGAGGCAGGAAAATGGCGTGAACCCGGGAGGCGGAGCTTGCAGTGAGCCGAGATTGCGCCACTGCACTCCAGCCTGGGCGACAGAGCGAGACTCCGTCTCAAAAAAAAAAATTTTTTTTTAATTCTCCAGAATATTTTGGAGTTTGAAACTAAAAAATACCAGTACAAAAAAGGGCCATGTGACTATTGGCAGTACCTGTATACTCTGGAGAGAAAAATCCAGGAAGAAGTATAAATTTCTATTTTAGAATCTCATACTTGGTTAAGTGACTTATAGAAAAATAATTAATTTGGCTTTTTTGTTTGTTTTGTGTTATATATCTGCATTTTCAAAAGGGTAATAACTACATAAGGTTTGGGGGTTTCGTTAGGTTTTATTAAATTAGTCTCAAATGGTTTAGATTCTGGTGTAATAGTAAAACTTGATCCTATGTTTTTAGAAATTTGCTAGCATAGTCAGAGCATGCGTTTTTCTAAATGTTTTCAATTTATATCCATGTTGCTAATGAGTTACTGTTTCTATTTCGGTTTTTTTTTTTTAAGATGTATTTTCTCCCCTGTTGCCCAGGCTCAAGTGCAGTGGTGCAATCTCAGCTAATTGCAACCTCTGCCTCCGAGGTTCAAGCGATTCTCCTGCCTCAGCCTCCCAACTGTCTTGGGATTACAGGCAAGCGCCCACGCCTGGTTAATTTTTTGTATTTTTAGTAGACCCAGAGTTTCACTATGTTGGCCAGGCTGGTCTCTAACTCCTGACCTCAGGTGATCCACATGCCTCGGCCTCCCAAAGTGCTGAGATTACAGGCATGAGCCACCGCTCCTGGCTTGTTTTTATTTCTTATCAAAGGATTTTAAACTAAGTTTAGTTCTTCCTAAAGATTCTGATTGATATAGGGATAATGGAACAGAAAGAAACACAGGTCACTGGTTTTTTTCCTTCAGTGTCCCTAGTTCATTCTGGGTTGAAAAGATTGTGGAGGAATTGCTGTTAAAGAATTGATTTAGGGAATTTACGAAAAAAATTAATTGCCTTGCATATTCCGGTTCATCTTTTCTCTAGAATGGTGGTTGTGTTGTATCTACAGCAAAAGTGATTGCAACTGACACCCTCATAAGCACTTATCTGACAGAGAAGAGAAAGAGAAGTGTAGTTACTAAGTATGAAATGGGGACTGAATTTACTTTAATGAGTACTAGTCCCTCTAAAGGACAATCTGGTATATGCTAGGGACCTCTATGAAAATATTTAGCCCAAATTGTATTAGGAAAGTTATTAGCCCCATTTAACTTTCAGATTGGAAATCTGGCATTTTAAGTATTATATTTGCTTTATATATAAGGATGAGGTTTCCAAGCTGTCTGTTAACCCTTTCCTCTGGCTTTATAATCTGGAGGGAAAAATTACCTATAGTTGAAGTTTTTAAACTAGACTCAAATGCATTAAATATATGTCAAAGACTGTGAAGGATTTAAAACACTGGTTTTCTTAAATAATGTTTTAATTCACTTTTGGGATTGGCTTTTGTAACAACCCTTTGGACTTTCCAGAATCTAAACAATTTAAAATATGGTTTCCATTCTTGTGTTTTCTGTTTCAACGTTTATTCTTTAAAATGTATTTTCATATATTATTTACTTTCAACTGTGATGCTATTTTGTGCAAATATTAAATAGTTGAACTGTTGACACAATGTCAGGATAGTCTTTTAAAATACCTGAAATCTTTCTGATATTCAGAGAATTTAGGAACAGTTTATGAAGCTCACACAGTATTTGGATAAGTTCTTGAATATAGAGAAATAATTTGATTATTTGTCAGATGTAGAGTTTATCTGGGTATTTCATTGTTAAATCACAATCCCAAAGCATACAAAAGCTATCTCTGTAACCAGTTATATTCTCAGCTGGATACAGAATGGGTAGATCAACTATTTCTTTCTTTCTTTTTTTTTGGGGGGTCAACTATTTCATATTTTGCATTTTTAGAGAAACAGTGATCTGCATATTCTTTTTTTTTTTTTTTTCTGATCAACTACATTCAGCCATTAGCTTAATTCCTTTTTGTTTTTGACCTGTAGTTAGTAGTGTCTTTTGGTCTTAAATAACAATGGATGTTGCCTATAAGGAGTAATTTCTATCAGTGAAAATTGGGCATTAAAAGGGATGATGCATAAGTTGGCCCTTACATCTCTTTCATTAAAAGCAGTCCTATAAATAGCCATAAGGCTGGTTTGAAGTTTTAATTATTTGAATGATGTGGGCTTGTTAGTTTGTTAGTAATATCCCAGTGTTCTCAGCAGAGTAGAGGAGTTTTAATAATACCACACCATGTTTTTCATCCCTTTTATCTCAAGTTCCTTTCTATCACAATTTTAGGTTACAAACTAAAGCTAGAATTTATAAAAGGGACTTCCCAAAACCTATTTATTGTCTCATGAGTATATTTTGGGGGAATGTCAAATTTTTATTCAGCTATTTATCTGATAATACATTGATGAGCATTTCAGAACATTGATACTTTAGCATTTAATATTTCTTCTTCATCAGTAAAGTTTTTTAAAAAGTACAACTTTTATGTTGATTTCCCAAAAGTAAGCCCCATTTTCAACAAGAGAGGAAAAGCAAGCATTAAAATGTGGATGTGATTATTGTAATACACAGTTTATAGTTTGTGAGCAGCAAACAATCATCTCTATCCCATCTTTCTGTCTTCTGATGTATTCCAAATCCTGGAATCTGGCAATTCTAGCTCAGAAAAACCCAATAGTGTGCTTTTGACTTTGAAGCTTTAAAAATTGTGTTATATGCCTTTAAAAAAGTAATTCCATGATTCCACTGGAGTATAAGATCCATGAGGTGAGGAATTTTTGTCTGCTTTGTTCTCTGCTTTCTATTTAATGTGTAGAATAGTGCCTGGTACATACTAGGCACTCAATCAATATTTTAAAAATAATTGCATAAATTCTTGCCTTTAATAGAAAAAGTAAAGTTTTTCATGTCAGTGAATTAATTTTTATGTTATTCAGAAAGCAGAGTCTGTCGCTGGGAAGAGATGATATAGTTCAGCTAAAAGAAGCCTACAAATGGATAACTCACCCCCTGTTTTCAGAGGAACTGGGTGTTCCCATTGATGGAAAGGTATCGGGTCAACAGCATTGTTAATTTTATTCTCTGATTTTACTAGTTTTGCTTAATTATATGGCAGGGTTTTGGTTAGCCAAAAAAAACTTCTTTTTAAATAATCCAGTGAAGGATTTTTAAGCTTTTCAAATGTTAAATTCTGATAGTCTTAAATTGAAGTCAAAGCATTTCTTTTTTTTTTTCCCTAAAACTTCTTTATGACCTAAGACACTTATGAAGGTACCAGGTGCCCTAATTGACCTTAAAAGGTTAGAAATGAATCTTTGCCTTTAATGTATTTATAGTTCAATTGGAGGAACAGACTTGATGCAAAGCAACATATAAATAACTGCAAGCAAATGTAGAGTCAACTCTGGACTATTTAATTTTGGTTTATCTGTGGCTAGTCTTGTTTTCAAATGCATGGACAGAACCTATTCAACTACAATGAGTATGGGCTCAATCCTACCTTGTTGGTATCTCAAATCCCCCTGTTTACTTTTAGGCAGTAACTGCCTTTGAAAGCAGAACATTTCCCTTTTCCAGAGCAGACCTTACCTCAGTCTCTGAAATGGATTGAATTTCAGGGAAGACTCAACAGGCTTCCAGATGTGAAAACAGGAAGATCATCTTAAATTAGGTTTTAATATTATGGCCTCATTGTTTCATCATTTTGCTAGAAGGAAATTCCCTGAATATCAGATACACCCCTATTCAAATAAAATCATAAAACCGCCTACTAAAGCTAAACAGTTTTTCAAAACCATTCTGAATTATGCAGTAATATTTCCTTCTGTAAGAATATGCTCTGTTCTGTAAACTGAATATTGAGAGAATAGAGAATAAAACCACTTCTCAGATAGCATGAAGAGGAAATGAGGTAATGAAACTATTTTGGAAGTTAGAGAAGTCATTAATGCAAAATATTTTTACCTCAAATTTCAGTTTTGAAGCACAAATAATTTTACATGTCATATAAGTGAGAACAGAAAATAGAAAACAAAAGGTGTGGGTTGAGTGAAGTTTCCCTGAATAAAAGGAATGCGTTGTTCACTTTAATTATTGTATAGATTAGAATAAGGAGCAAAAAAAACAAAAAAAAAAAAACAAAAAAAACCCCAGCTATTCATTATTGTGATTCTAGAGTAGCTAATAGGTCTACTAACTATCCAATGAACTCAGTAAATATAAAGACAAAATTGTAACATAGTATGGCATTTTTAGCTATTCTTCCCACACACACTTCCCCCATATGGAATTTTGTGTATTCTCCATGGAGGTAAAAGTATAAAATCATGCTTTTTTGGTGTACAAGGATGTTCACTGTAGCATTTTTTGTTGTTGTTGTTACAGAAAAATTTTCTACAGCTTAAATGTCTGACAGTCCCTAGAGTTGAAAAGATTTCCATGATATAATATTAAAGCAATTTTTCAAAAGCATGTCTTAAAAAATAATACATATACATTTATATTCACAAAAATGTCTAGAAAAAACATCAAATTGTTAATGGTTCTGCTTCAGTGGAGTGGGATTGAAAAGCTACCTTGTATTTGATCATTTTATGATTTAAGTGTATAATTTTTGAAATAAAACAAAAAAATTACAAATACATTAAGACGTTTGAGCACTTTAAAAAAAGCTTCATACAGTTTTTAGGGATCTGAATGTATGTTTTTTGCCTTGCTAATAATTTAAATCATAGTATTGGCAGAATAATTCTTCATTTCTTTGCATTATTATTTATTTTCAATTCTGTAAATTCTCATTCATCTTCACACCTAATTTACACATTTGTCCAAAAAGCATACAAATTTATTTTAAAACTTTTTTGGTAGGATCACTAATGACTGAGTTTTAGAAGTTAAAAAAAAAAACAAAAACCATTTCCTTTACAGCTGCCCTGTGAACAAGTTGATTTGAGAGCAGTAGTATTTCCAGTTTTTCTGGTCATTCTTTTCTGAGCCAATGTTTGAGAATTAATTTCTATTTCCATTCATAAGTTGTTAGATGTTAGTTTCCTTTTGCTCATTTTTAAACTGTCTTTATAATTTTTAGAGCTTGTTTGAAGTGAGTGTGGTCTTTGCTCACCCAGAAACAGTTGAGGATTGCCACTTCCTGTAAGTTGCCATGTAAACAACGTCAGTGGTGTAAAATTGTTAATGCTGTTTGGTTTTCATGAAAATAGTATTGCTTCTCATAAGCATAGGAAATGCTTCCTAATAAGCATTTCAGAACTTGTTATGTCTTAGTAGGTTTAAAATGTGCCCTCAAAAAATAAAATAAAACGTGTCCTTGAACATAGGTTCCTGGGCAAACCGACGTAGCTCCTACAGGGACTCATTTTGTCTGCTCCTGATGTCCTGAGTTTAGCAGCCATTTTGTATTAAATATATTTGAATTATATCTACCCCAAAATAAACTCAACCTTTTACATTAACTTGAATTTTATTTTAGAGCTGCGATATGCCCAGATTGTTTTAAGCCAGCCAAAAACAAACAGGTAAGGAAAGGTTCCTGCTTCTTACTCTTGAGTGAGTTTTGTCTGAGCTGAATATCCAAATTTCCAACAAAAAGGATATGCATTAGAAACATGGCACCTCTATTATACTAAGAACCAGTCTTTAAATATTTCCATTTGCTACATTAATTTTTATTTTTTTTCAACTTTTTCAACCTTCACCTCCGGCTAGGAAGTTGTAGCACACAAACATCCTCATGTTTGTGTCAGTGTCTAGATTGTTCCCCTGACGGTGTTAAATTTAGAATCAGTGCTTCGGTGATACTACTATTACTTATTAAATTCGACGTTTAGATTTTAATACCCCAAATTACATCATCTGGGAAAATCAATGGTAAGTGTCAGTAGTAGCATTCCAAACTTTCAGCTGATACTCATTTTCCAGAAATTGAGGTTTACAATATATAATCCAAAGTAAGTTGTTTTATTTAGGACAGTCCTGAATTAACATGGCCTCTTTCTGGCTACATTTGCAAAAAGGGTGTTTTATTCAAACTCTTCCTTATCATCTTAATGTTAGCTAATCTTCATGTTAATGGACAAGTTAGTTAACATACACTCTTAGCTCGTATCATGTCAGGATAGAATGATGTGGTGCGATATTGGTCATCTTTCATGCGTCAGTTTCGTAGGTGGTTTCGTACACAGACTTAGGCATTCCTTCAGTTTTACTTACATTCATTTTGTTGCTGTGATTGTTAAAAAGAACATAAGCTCATTGTCAAATATACATCTGTTGGCTTTGCCTCTTGCTTTGACTAATTGCTGGGCCTTTTAGAACTGGGGGAAAGAAGTTTGTAACATTTGCCTAATGCCCTGCGCAGAAATAATTAGAAATGCAGACCAAGCCGAGAGCAGCGCCTCCCTACTTTTCTCTTATCATGGCACATCTAAAATATTACCATGTTTGTTCAGCACCCTGAGCGTAACAGGATGGAGTTGCTTCAGATTGGCAGCAACAGGACTGGGGTTTCCACTGTCTGAGGCCCTGCCCAGCAGCCCTTCTGAACTAAAGAGATCAACATCTTGGCACAACCATAGTCCACTGCTTTGCCACGCCAGTTGGGAAGCTCTGCCCAAATAACCTGTAAGATGTATCTATATTGAAGACCTAGTTTTATTTTATTTACCCTTGAGGAAATATAATAGTAGGCATCAAGTAATAGGATTAAGAGATTTTTGTTAAAGCATCATAGACACCACACCATTTGGCCAGTGGGAGTTGTAGACTCAAGTATAGTTTGCTTGCCTCATGGCTGGGAGCAAATTGAATGACCTTTTGAGATTTTTTTCAGTCCTAAGCTTTCATATCTTATCAAACAGGCACTTAATTTCAGTTGTAACCCTATGGTATCTGGTAGAATGCCATGGTGGTCCCTAGAATATGATTTTGAAAAAATCATTCCTTTGACTGGTGATAAACTGTTGAGCTGCCTCCATTGTAATCCTTTTCAGTCAAATGTGATTTCTCATAACAGAAGAAATAATTGTGATTTATCATAGTAAGCCATGTATATATGCACTAATTAGTTCTAGTATATCTGCCATGCAGTTTGGCTTTTCTTATCTTAAAAAATCCAAGTGGAACATTTGTTGTAGATGCCCTTCTGTTCAGTACAGTGGATTTGCTTATTCTGTGGCTGGTGAGTGAGACTGAGTTGCTAGATGCCAGGGCCGGCAGGTTGACTCTGCTTTACCCCTTACCCTGGCAGCCAACTCCTAAATTACATACTGTGACCTCTGAAGGGATGTAGGAAAGAAAAGGTAGCTGAATCAATCTAAATTCCTGTTGAAGTCAAGGGAAAAAAAAATTAAATCACACTTCCTACAATGTCATCATTTTTTTGTATTTGAATTATACCATAATTTGAGAGAAGTGGGACAGTGTGGTGAAGAAGACCTGTTCTGCTGGATCTACCTGTTATTATAGACATAGACCAGATTGAAGAGAAGGGTTATAGAGGTGTGCCAGTTGCAGAACTGACATGAATGCTTAAGTTTTATTTATTTTCTTAAAAAGCTTAAGTATTTCTCCATGTTAAGTATATGAAATGATGTAATGAAATGATACAATTTCTCCAACCATGTTCTATGTTTCACATCTGACGTTTTCTTGTCTGGATAATAAAATGTCTTTTCTTCTCATTTTACCCTATATAGTCTGTATTCACTAGAATGGCAGTTATGAAAGCCTTGAATAAGATAAAAGAAGAGGATTTCCTTAAGTAAGTAGAAGTATAGAAACAAAGAAGCGTCATGAAATTTTAGAATAAAGGGAATGTTAGAGATAAGCTGGATTATCTCTGAAACAAGATGATATATTTCAGGGGCCAGGATTGTGTCTTAGTCATTGTTATCTCTCCAACCCCGATGCAGTACCTGGCATATAGTGGTGTTCAGTAAATGTTTGTCAAATTAATATCAAGTGTAACGTCTTTTAAAAATATATATTTATTTATTTTTTGAGATGGAGTTTCACCTTTGTTGCCCAGGCTGGAGTGCAGTGGAGCAATCTCGGTTCACTGCAACCTCTGCCTCTTGGGTTCTAGTGATTCTCCTGCCTCAGCCTCCCAAGTAGCTGGGATTATAGGCATGTGCCACCACTGCCCGGCTAATTTTTTGTATTTTTAGTAGAGACAGGGTTTCGCCATGTTGACCAGGCAGGTCTTGAACTCCTGACCTCAGGTGATCCAACCGCCTCGTCCTCCCAAAGTGCTGAGATTACAGGCGTGAGCCACTGTGCCCAGCCAAATCAGGTCTAACTTCTTGATCTTTTAGAAGAGGGTATTGTGTCCAAAGAGGGAGTTGACTTGCCTAAGCTAGTAATAGAGTAGATCTGGAGCCAGATTTCCTGACATTCTAGCCCAGTGCTACGCCCGTTACATCCTTAGTCCTGTATTTCCTAGTATCATTCATCTCCAGAAAAGGGAGAGGAAGGCTCATGAGTTTCCTCACTTGTTAAAATATGGTAAAATAAAATAAATGCAATAAACCTTACATTTTAATTCTTGGTACATTCATTTTATTAAATAAAATATTGCTGTAGTTTTCTTTCCAGAAGATCCTTCAATACATTTCAAACAATGATGTGATAAGAGGGGTAGAGTCAGCAGTAAACTGCACATAACCATGGACAGCAAAATGGTTAAAGAGCCTGACGGGGCTTCCACTTCCTTTGTATGGATTTTTCCCTCAAATCTTGAGACTATTGGAAAGTATTAGGTTGGTGCAAAAGTAATTGCAGTTTTTGCCTAGGAAGATAAGGCCTCCCAAGGGTGAAAGGTAGCAGCAGAGCCCTTATTTACTTACTGCCACTCTCATATGTTAAAATTGTTACTCCACAGGCCTGCAAGACCTTTATTGTTCTGAAACTAAAAGTTAGCGAGAGACTTGGGCTCTGTGTATGTCTCAGACGATGCTGATTCATCTAAGTTTTGTGATTCAATATTATGTCTGGAAAATAGCTATAAAATTTATTTTGTTTTGCAGGCAGTTTCCTTGTCCTCCAAACTCACCAAAGGCTGTATGCACTGTTCTTGAAATTGAATGTGCTCATGGTGCTGTTTTTGTGGCTGGTAAAATATTTAGTCTAGAATATACATACACTGTGAACGTACTCTCCTTTCTGAAAACTCAACTGACTCCTGTTCTATTTTATTCTTATTGCTGTTATTAGATTCTAATAAGTTTACTCTCTTGAGAAGTAGAATCAATAGCCAAACTTATTTTAGGTTTTGTGGGCATTCTAAAGGATCACTTAGGAGATCAGTTATTTTAAATGCCATGCCAAAAGGAAATGACACTTCCTAGGTTTTAATAGTTTTCATCAGAGATGGCCAAGTAGAAATATGGGTAGATGCAGAGACCTAAAACTGGTTTGGAGGAAAACAGCAGGACAGAGGCTGTTTTATAACATAAAAGCAAACTTGAAAAAACAATTTATTATCTCCAAAATGACTAAACACTTGGCTTCCACTGGAAAGAAATTGTTCATTGACTTTCCCTAAAGGTAATCTGGCAGACAAACTTTTGTTCGAAAGTTACAACTGTTTTATAGTAATGGCTGAAGTGAAATTGCTCTTCAGCCCTGACTATAATATCCTATCCTAGGGCAATGAAAGCTACCTGCCTTACTGTAGCTTTATTCATCAGGTGTAAAAGCAAGTTTGATTGTGTGTTTTTTTTTTTTTTAATCCTTGGTACATTAATAATATTATATAATTTGTTCAGTCAGCCAATCAAATTAAATATATTGAGCATTCCTTTCAAACTCATTTGATGCACCATTCATATCATATATTTACTCATCTATTTTATTGTTACTTTAAACCTTTTTATTTAATTCTCTACATGTCTGTGTCCCAGGTCTCCAAATTGAGTTGTTAGTTAGGTAAAGGATAGGCCTTGTTTTATATCGTAGCACTTAGGATATTGGCCCTTATAGTTGTTGCTTCTCTTTTTATCCTGTTATGTTAATTACTCCATTCCATGCAGGCTGCCTGATTGTTTCTTTCTCAGGGAGGTATAATAAATACTCCAGGAATCTACCACAAACTCCTTGGATAATTGATGGAGAAAGAAAGCTGGAATCTTCAGTGGAAGAATTAATTTCAGATCATCTGTTGGCAGTATTCAAAGCAGAGAGTAAGTGTTACAATCTTCATACTTTATTTCTTTTTTTTTTGAGATAGGGGCTTTCTTTGTCAACTAGGCTAGATTACAGTAGCACAATCACAGTTCACGGCAGCCTTAACCTTCTGGACTCAAATGATCTGCCCACCTTGGTCTCCCAAAGTCCTGGGATTATAGGCATAAGCCACCCCACCTGACCTAATCTTCATATTTTATTCTCTTTTTTTTGAGAGAGAGGGCGTCTCACCCTGTCACCCAGGCTGGAGCGCAGCCTTAACCTCCCAGGCTCAAGCAACCCTCCCATTTCAGTGTCCTGAGTAGCTGGGACCACAGGTATGGGCCACCATGCTCGGTTATTTTTTAATATATTTTTAGAGATGGGACTCTCACTACGTAGCCCAGGCTGGTCTTGAACTCCTGGGCTCAAGTGCCCCTCCTGCCTGGGATTCCCAAAGTGCTGGGATTATAGGCAGGAGCCACTGTACTCGGCCATATATTTAATACACTGACATTCATGAATAGAGTTCTTGGAGGTGGTAAGAAAAATTTCTATGTTTTGTTAATCACTACCAAGTCTGGGCCTCTTGGCCATAGGCTTCCTGTGAACAGGGATCATCATGTTCTGGGTGCCACTGGCCTGGGCTGGATTTCAGCCAAGGCACTCAAGAATATCTGCCTGTCCTCTCTCAAGATGACTGCTCTGCCGGGTGTAGTGGCGCGTGCCTGCAATCCCAGCACTCTGGGAGACTGAGGCAGGCGAATCACTTGCAGTCAGGAATTCAAGACCAGCCTGGGCAACATGGTGAGACCCTGTATCTACTAAAAATATGAAAATTAGCCAGTCCTGTTGGTGCACACCTATAGTCCCAGCTACTTAGAAGGCTGAGGCACGAATCGCTCGAACCCAGGAGGCGGAGGTTGCAGTGAGCTGAGATCACACTACTGCACTCCAGCCTGGGTGAAAGAGTGAGATTCTGCCTAAGAAAATAAAAAATAAAGTAAAAAAATGACTGTTCTTTCCTGGGGAAATTCAAAACAACTGAAACTAGATGAATGCACCTAAGCCCTGACCTTGGTACACCTCTGCCTTGGCCTCTTTGGGGGAATATGAGGATATTAAAACACATCTTTCACATCCAGTGCTTCTTCAAGAGTAATCACTGGCAAGTGTTTGCCTTCTCTCTTAACCTATAAAGTGTCCTGGAATAAAGTTCAGGCCTAGATAAAGTAAATCAACAGCAGCCATTTTACAAAGACTGAATGACAGTTGTATTGTTTTTGAATTTAGGTATTAACGAGCCTAGGTTCGTGGGATGAGTCAGGTTCCATCAGGTTTATGTTTTCCTTGTCTCAACAGGCCTGTCAGGTCAAAGGCAGCATAAAGTCTTGTGATTTCAATTGCAGGAAATTGTGTTACACGTCAGGAAAAACTGCAGGGCATGAATGATGTTACTCTTTGGAATGAGGCTCCTAGCATAATTAGAAAACCTTTTCTTTTTTTTTTTGTGAGACAGAGTCTTACTTTGTTGCCCAGGCTATAGTGCAGTAGTGTGATCATGGCTCACTGTAGCCTTTACCTCCTGGGCTCAAGCAATCCTCCTGCCTCAGCCTCCCAAGTAGCTGGGACTACAGGTATGTACCACCATGCCTGGCTAATTTTTTTGTATTTTTTGTGGAGATGAAGTTTTGCCATGTTGCCAAGGCTAGTCTCAAACTCCTGAGCTCGAGCAATCCATCTGCCTCAGCCTCCCAAAGTGCTGAGATTACAGACGTGAACCACCACACTCAGCCAGCAAACCCTTTTTTGACAGACCAGCTAGAAATCCATCCTTCTCTCTGAAAGACCTTAAGATAAACATGCTTTGATCATGACAAACACATGGTCTAGATGAGACATGGCTGACCCTTCCAGCTCCCTGACTTGCAAGGAGGAAAGAGAAACACTTCAAACCACATCCCTCTTATAATTTGTTGCCTATCGCATAGGTGGACCTTCTTTAAGGGTCTTTAAGAATTGTTTACTGAATGGAAAAAAAAGTATCCCAGCACCCTAATATTTTCTCAAATCTTAGCAGTAAAGACCCTGGACAATTGCCATGAGCTTTTTTGCCCACTTAATTTGGTATTTACAAATGAATTATCATGTAAGACTTATGCAGATTATGAAGGGATGAAAATAAAGCTTTAGCACAAAAAGTTTCATCTGAATTCTTTTTGGGGCCACCTGTCACACCAACTGTCAGGTTCCAGCCCAAGCTGAAGACTGAAGGGAGTGGGCTGATGAGTGGCGGGTAGCTGAAAGAACACTCAGGGAATCATAGGGAGTTTTGGACATGGCTTTATTCTCTCTCTCTCTGGGCAAAAGCCCAGGCATGAGCCATATGTACAGCATCAGCAGGATAGTTATACCTTTTACAGACAATAGTGGCTCCAAGCCAAGCGCAAGTTCATGTGAGTGATCACCTAATGTGCCTCACGTGGTGTGGTTACATAATGTGTGGGGTTGCGCGCCTGTGCACCAAACCTGCTGAGTCATGCTGTGCTGGAAGGCTGCCTCAATCTACTCCTGACTAAAGCACAGCCATTTCCCTTATACTCCACTCTCCAGGCTGAGGGTGTCCTCTGGGCAGGGACACATGCCCATGGGGCAGAGCCCTGAATCCATAGTCCACAACAACAATACAGAGAGCAACAGATCACTACTAGGATCTCAACTATGCTACTTATGTCTATTAGGGCCCAGCATAGGCCAGAGCCTGGGGATGCCCACCATCTCTGCAGGGGGTCATCAGTAAAGCCCTCGACTGTCTTAATCTCCCGTGAGACCCCTTGCAGAGCTGCTTTTATGTTCTGCTGATTACCCGGGATAAAGGTACAGCATTGTGTTATGCTTATACAGACCATGATGGGTAGCCATCCCACAGTGGTATTACCCCAATGTTGCTCTATGCACCACAGTGCCTGGGCTGGGGATACTACATGTTCCCCCACTGACCAGCTCCATCCATCATAAATGCCATGGGCCAACCAGGGGGCAAGCATGCCATGGGTCTTGCAGCATCCTTTGTCCAAAACTTGTGCATTGTGTTCCAGGCGTCAGCCATGGGACCTCAAGTCTCCAACCATGTTCACTTCTCTACAGATGTGGGATGTATGTGCCAGGGCAAACCATCCACAGCTGCTGCTGGAAGGGCGGTACAGATCCAACAGTTGGAAACATTGGTCACCTCAGCACAGGTGTGGGCCCAATCCACAGTGCAGTTGGAGCATGTGAACCCAAAGGGCTTGTACCTGCTGAATAACCCGCTTGGCTGCTAGGAAGGCAGTCTCAGCCACATCATCCCAGTCTCAGGCAAGAGGGGTGTTTTTGCTTCTAAATCTCAGTATCCTGCTACATCAAGTGCAACACCAAGTGTCGGGTTCCAGCCCAAGCGGAGGACCGAGGGCAGTGGGTGGATGAGTGGTGGGCAGCTGAAAGAACACTCAAGGAATCGTAGTGAGTTTCAACATGGCTTTATTCTCTGTCTCTGGGCGCAAGCCCCAGTCTGAATGGTATGTACAGCGTCAGCAGGGTAGTTATACATTTTACAGACAATAGTGGTACCGAGCCAAGCGCTAGCTCATGTGAGTGAGCACCTAATGTGCCTCACGTGGCGTGGTTACATAATGAGTGGGGTTGTGCACCTGCACTCTAAACCCGCTGAGTCATGCTGTGCCGGAAGGCCACCTCAGCCTACTCTTGACTAAAGCACAACCATTTCCCTTATGTCACCTTACTCCTTTTCTTTAAGAAGATTCAAGAAAGTTTCAGTTCTATTTGGGCCCCAGGGAAGACCCTGTTATCTCTAGGGCTGCTGGAGGACTGACTCTGAAACAGTTGTGTTTTCCCCCTTACAATTTTTAATGAAGGTGGTTTGTTGTCATTTTCCATTTGATGGGGGGAAAATTATTCCCAAACTGAAAAGAAGAATATTGCATGTTTGATAGCTGTAAATGTGTCCTGACATAATTTATTGAGAGTCCCCTGAGAAAAAGCAGACCTCTGGGCCTCAGTGCTAACTGGCTCCCTGTCAGGAGACAAAATCTTGTTGTTTGAAATCTCTGATTGATAACATCAATTTGCTGAACCTGTCCTTCTCAGATATATTACTTATTATTGATTAGTGGTTCACATCTGACAACTCTGGGAAGATGGTTCTAACTGTGGTACTCCTAAGTGTTAAAGTTCTATAAACTGAGCCAGTATTGCATGGAGCAGTGTGGCTACCTATATAAACATCCCTTCCCCTATGTGAGATATACAAACTTGTTTCTCAGTCACTTCAGACTACATGTCTTATTATCTACTTGTTAATTCCCTAATGAGTAATAATTTTGACATGCTCTCAAAAATCTGTATGTCTAAGAAATCTTCTCCTAATATATTAATTCACTTATTGAATACATACTTTCCATGTCAGTTCCCTGCTAAAAACTGGTCAATGACTAGCTATAGGATGAAGTCCACTTACCTGGATATTCTGGGCCCTTCATTGTCTGGCCTGTGCCCATCTTTCGGTCCCATTATCTGTCTGTCCCAAGTACGAGGACCACTGCAGATTAGCTGAACCCCTTATAGTTCCTGATCACTCTTGCCCTTGATTTTGGTTTTTAGGGGAATGAGACAAGGCACAATGTGAGTTTAAAAACTCAACTAAGTTTTAAGCATGTATTTTCTAATACTTAAGGGAGTGGCTTCTTTTCCTTTTTTGTCAGCTGCCATTTATAATTGCACACTAGTAAGTTTTCAGGTTTGCCCCCCCAAATTTCTCTCACTCTGAGGTCCAAGGATGTTTCCTTAATTTTCAGGTTTGAAACATTTTTCTTTTTTTTTTTTTTGAGACGGAGTCTCGCCCTGTCACCCAGGCTGGAGTGCAGTGGCACGATCTCGGCTCACTGCAAGCTCCACCTTCCGGGTTCACGCCATTCTCCTGCCTCAGCCTCCTGAGTAGCTGGGACTACAGGCACGTGCCACCACACCCAGCTAATTTTTTTGTATTTTTAACAGAGATGGGTTTCACCATGTTGGTCAGGCTGGTCTCAAACTCCTGGCCTCAAGTGATCCACCCGCCTCAGCCTCCCAAAGTGCTGGGATTACAGGCATGAGTCACCGTGCCCAGCCTGGTTTGAAACATTTTTCTAAAAGATCAGTAAATATGCCTTCTCCTTTAGTCTGGATCAAATGCTTTTGTGGCCTTCTCAAGGGCCTAGCTTTCTACACCTCTTTCTTACTGATGGGCTGGAATTTGTGGGAAGTTTTATGGCTGACTTATGAATTTAAGATTTCTGCTCCTTCAGTAACTAGTAGACTTAGCTCTTCGAGGCCTGTTCATTCCCTTCACCCCTGCCAGTCACAGGTTCTTGTTCAGTCACTGTGGACCCCCTGTTTTCCTGACAGGGCTGACTGGGAGACAGGGATGGGCAGGTAGAAGTCAAATCGTAGCCCCAAGGAGTCTGCATCTTTGGCTTCCCAGATGCCCTTTTTGAATTCACCACTGAGCCATGGCCATCCATCTGTTGTTAGCACTACAGGTTGAGTCTGTTGACTCTGATTAGAAGATACTGATGTTCCTATGGATTTATTAGTGACTTCACACTGGAGTGTAAACACGGAATGGAGAGTTTTTTGGGACTTAGTGGTTCACAGACTCCTACTTCCTGCCTGGCCTAGTTCTGTGTCTAAAAACGTAGTTGTATAAGCCCCTTGCCTTTAAAACAAAACAAAACAAAAAAACAATTTTCCTATTCCAATATTTGCAGCTTTTAGTCTGTGATGATCTACTTATGATAGAGCATACACTGGTTTTATCACGTTTCCAGCTTTGGTTTGATGACATATATAATGAATTTGCTTTTTAGAGTCAGACCTTTTTTTCCCTCCTTTTTCTTTCATGGAGTTTAATTCTTAAATAATGAATTTTTTGCTTGGTTGTGTTTTAAGGAAAAAGAGAAAGATGGTAGAGTTTTTACCATAGGCTTATGGCCAGAGGGGTGGTGGGCTCTTCTTCCAAACAGGACTCTGCCTTGGCTTTCCCATGGGATGGTAGTTAAGGTCAGATTTTAACATCAGAAACACCTAGCTCTGCCATTTACTTGTGCGACCTTGGGATCATTACCTAACTTTTCTGAAGCTTGGTGTTCTTTTATTTTGTACTTACTTTATAAGGTTATAATAAGGATTAAATAGTACATGGTTCAGGTGCAGTGGCTCACACCTGTAATTCCAGTGCTTTGGTAGGCCAAAGCAGGAGAATAGCTTGAATTCAGGAGTTAAAGACCAGCCTGGGCAATAAAGCAAGACCTTATCTCTACAAAAATTAAAAAATTAGCCAGGTGTGCTGGTGTGCACTTGTGATCCTAGCTACTTGGGAGGCTGAGACAAGAGGATTGATTGGGCCCAGGAGTTTGAGGTTGCAGTCGGCCATGATCATGGTACTGCACTCCAGCCTGGGTGACAGAGTAAGATCTCATTTCTAAGAAAAAAAATAAGTAAATAAAATTTAAATCATATATATAAAATTTTTAGTCCAATGCCTGGCATATAATAAGTTCTCAATAAATGGTGTTTACTATTAGCATTACTATTTTTAGTAGAGATTGACATTAGAGGTGGGACGATGACTCTCCCGGGGGATTCTCCTGTAGATGGTTCAAGACCTTCAATTGGGTTTCTACCAAAGGTTGAATATCTTAGGGCTATGATGTCTCTAATTTTTTTTTCTTTATCTGCTTTTCAAAGGTTTTAATTTTTCATCCTCTGGAAGAGAAGATGTAGATGTGAGAACATTAGGAAATGGTAAGACTGCAACAGCATCACCTGATTAGAACTAACTTTCTGATATTCATCCTTTCTAGACAGCAGGCTTAGTAGTCACTCAGTGAAAAACAAAGTGAGCAAGGTCGAGAGCTTCTCCAAGGGAGGAAGCTTTGTGGATTATGGAGGCCCCTTTATGAATTATATGAAATACACCTTAACAGGAATAATTTCTTCAGAGGCCATCTTGATTGCATACCTGTAGGTTATAAGGGACTTGTATGTACATTAACAAAGAGGTGCCTGATTTTTTATCCAAAAGTTTGATTATTAATTTTTTCATTTAATAACATTTCAGAAGTACCAATACAGTTTTCAAAATGTACATCTTCATTTAAAAAGTGATTCTGCTGTCTTAACCTTCATGTCTCTCATTTTACCCTGCTGCATTATCGGAAAGATGATGACATTTAATCCTCAACTGTTTGAGACTTATAGTTCCTTCCTCTCATGGAACCAAAGCTTTTCCATTTCACTAGTGGATCAGGCTAGGAGGATGGATTTCAACAGGGCATTGCTGCATGTGACAACCTTACATTAGTGTAACTAAGTTAATTAGCAGTTATTTGAACTGTGTTTTGTAATTAACACAGGCTTGTTCATGGGCCTTTGGGAAAGCAGTCATTTTCACATATTGCCTGTGCTGGGGTTTAGCAGCCCTTCTGCCCCCACAAAAAGCCCCTTGATTCTTCTCACACATTCTTCCCTCCCTCAGATGTAGTCATGTCACTAAACTTTCAGTCCTCTAGAGCTCAACTCATTTTTCACACCTCCTAACCCTCTTGCATTAGCCCAAATGTTAACTCCATCAACACGTTTCTGTTTCATGACGGGGTGTGTGCTGCCAGGAAGGCCCTTTGCAATTGAGCTGGTGAATCCTCATAGAGTACATTTCACTTCACAAGAAATTAAGGAACTTCAGCAGGTAAACCACTTCATGACATGGAAATCGTCATGTTTCTGCAATTCTGTAACTGAGCTAGACTTGCTAATTGTTTTTCTTTTTCTGCTACTACAGAAAATTAATAACTCATCTAACAAAATCCAAGTACGTGACTTGCAGCTTGTCACAAGGTAAGAGTAGGCTCACTGGAGACGATTTCGAAGGGATGTTTTAGTTGCAGGTCATATATCTTGATAAGGGAATTGCATCCAGAATATATAAAGAACTCTTAACAACCCAACTAAAAATGGGGAAATGATTAAGTAGACATTTCTGCAAGGCGGATATAGGAATAGCCGATTAATGTATGAAAAAATGCTCAACATAATTAGTCATTGGGGAAATACAAATCTTAACCACTTCTAGATATTATATATGCAAGAGAAATGAAAACAAACATCCACACAAAGACTTGTACATGATATTCCTAGTAATATTATTCACAATAGCAAAGAAGTAGAAACTACCCAAGTGTCTATGAATAAACAAAATGTGATATATCCATACAATGCAATATTACTTGGTAATAAAAAGGAATGAAGTACTGATACATGCTGCAACCTGGATGAACCTTGAAAACATTATGAAATGAAAGTAGCCAGTCACCAAGCACCACGTACTGTATGATTTCATTATATGAAATGTTCAGAATAGGTAAATCTATAGAGATAGAAAGTCAGTTAATGGTTGTCTAGGGCTTGGGGAGAATAATAATGGGAAGTGACACTAATGGGTACAAAGTTTCTTTTTCGGGGTGATGAAAGTTTCTAAAACTAGATTGTGGTAATAGCTGGACAACTCTGAAAACATACTAAAAATCATTGAATTGTACAGTTAAAACTGAGAAATTATATGTAAATTATATCTCATTGGAACTATTTTTAAAGAAAGGTTAATTTGGGGCAAGGTTTGTTTGCATTTTATTTATTTGGACAAGATTTTAAAAATTGTTTTTGTTTAGAGAGGCAATAGGACATATGAAAGAAGGTGAAGAAGAAAAGACAAAGACCTACAGTGCCTTAATATGGACAGATAAAGCGATCCAGAAGAAAGACATTGAATTCCTAAATGACATAAAGGTAGTTTAAGTGTGCTTGTTCTTTTTATTTCATTTTTCTGTTGCCTATCAAAGATCCCATTGTCTTCTAATTTATTACTAGCAAGTCACAGGGCATGGGCTTTGGGGTCAGCAAGACCTGGGTTCCACGCCTGGTTCTGCCACTGACTAGCTGAAGGACTGGGTATGTCATCTAACCTGCTCGAGCGGCAGTGTGGCCAGTGGGGAAGAGCCCCACTCTGAAGACAGATTGCCTGGGTGCAAATCCTGGATCTGCATTTCTGAGCTCTGTGGCTTTGGACAAGTTACTTAACCTCTTTCTGCTTCAATTTCTTCATTTATAAAATTAGTTAAAATAATTAAATGAGTGTAATTAGATAAAGCACTTAGAACAGTACCTGGCACATAGGAAAAACTTGGCAATGCTATTATCATCTTTGGTCATTTGTCAAAAATAAATATAAAATAGCACTTATCTAATAGAACTGAGGCTGAGATTAAGTACATGAGTAAAACACATGATAATATATGTAAAGCACATGCATTTTGCCACATGTGAAGTTTTCCTATACCTGAGCATGTGTCTGCCTGTTCACGTGCATACTTTTTACCACCTGCCCCCACCTCTTCTTATAAAAATAGTTTACTTCCTTTTTTCTTTCTTTTTTTTTTTTTTTTTTTTTTTTTTTTTGAGACAGAGTCTTGCTCTTGTCACCAGGCTGGAGTGCAATGGCACGATCTCGGCTCACTGCAACCTCCGCCTCCCAGGTTCAGGTGATTCTCCTGCCTCAGCCTTCCATGTAGCTGGGATTACAGGCGCCCGCCACCACACCTGGTTAATTTTTGTATTTTTAGTAGAGATGGGGTTTCGCCATGTTGGCCTGTCTGGTCTTGAACTCCTGACCTTGTCATCTGCCTGCCCCAGCCTCCCAAAGTGCTGGGACTACAGACATGAGCCACCGTGCCCAGCCAGAAACAGTTTATTTTCAAATGCAAGGAATGAGCATACATGGGCAGCACAGAGACACATATAGTTACCATTGTTTAAATAGGCAATATTTTGCAACAACCTAGATGACCTACTAGAAGGAACTGGTTTAATATTAATGACTTATCTGTATAATGGACTACTACTATTCAACCATTGAAAATTATGTGGTAGATAAATATTTATTGACACAGGAAAATGTTTCTGGTAAGTGCTAAGGAAAAAAATAAAAGTATAGACTCTAGAGAGGATGATATGCTGTGATTTAAGCCAGGGGTTCTCAACCCTCCGGTGGTACTGGCTGGTGACCTGTTAGGAATCTAGCCACACAGCAGAAAATGAGCAGTGGATGAGAGAGCAAAGCTTCATCTGTATTTGCAGCTGCTGCCCATCACTCACATTACCACCTGAGCTTTGTCTCCTGTCAGATCAGTGGTGGCATTAGATTCTTATAAAAGCGTGAACCCTGTTGGAAAGGACACATGCGAGGGATCTAGGTTGCATGCTCCTTATGAAAATCTAATGCCTGATGATCCATCAGTTGCAGGAAAACAAGCTCAGGGCTCCCACTGAATCTACATTATGGTGAGTTGTAAAATTATTTCATTATATATTACAATGTAATAATAATAGAAATAAAGTGCACAATAAATATAACAAGCTTGAATCATCCCCAAACCATCCCCTCCTTCCCCAGTTCATAGAAAAATAGTCTTCCCAGAAACTGGTCCCTGGCGCCAAAAAGGTTGGGGACTGCTGATTTAAGCACACACAAACGCATATATATGTATATGTATACACATATAGCGGATTATGTAGAAAACAAATTGTATGGCAAAAGATACTATAAATAGAATTTATACTTATGAAAAATATGAACACGCAACAAATAAAAATAGACAAAGAATATGAACCAGTTAGCTGCAAAAAGAATAACTCCAGTGGCCAAGAATCATTTGAAAAGGTTGATGTAACAATAAGACATCACTTTATTCCCCTTAGACTAATAATACCTATCGGTGGGTTGGAGTGGAGGAGAGTTCTCAGTAGAAATGTAGTGTTTCAGCCTTTTTCAAAAACAACATGGTAGTGACTGTAAAAATTTAAAATATACTGAACTGTCCTGTAGAAATAAAACTCCAGTGCATAAGAATATGTACACAGTGTTTAAGGGCTTTAAGTGGCAGAATCAACAACAAAAAGACTGGGAACATAATCAACGTCCCTCAATAAGGAAACGGTAGAGTAAATTGGGATATATACAGCTATTAAAAAAACAAAATCATGCCAGGCATGGTGGCTTATGCTTGTAATCCCAGCACTTTAGGAGGCTGAGGTGGGTGGATAACTTACTTGAGGTCAGGAGTTTGAGACCAGCCTGGCCAACATGGTGAAACCCCATCTCTACTGAAAACACAAAAAATTAGCCGGGTGTGGTGGTGCATGCCTGTAGTCCCAGCTACTTGGAAGGATAAGGCATGAGAATAGCTTGAACCCAGAGGTCAGAGATTGCAGTGAGCCAAGATTGCGTCACAGCACTCCAGCCTGGGGGACAGAGTCGCCTGGGGAACAGAGTAAGACTGCATCTCAAAACAAAAGCAAAAACAAAACCAGCATATGACCCTATTTAATTTACATATTAGTATGTACATATGTATCTAAAAATGCTGGGAAAAAAGATAGAGGTATGTCTATATCTATGACTCGTAGGAGCACTTATGACATGAGAAAAAAGCAAAGTGCAGAATAATGTTTATAGTATGAGTATTTTCGTAAAAACGTACAAATCATTCACCTGCTTAAAGAAGGTCATTTATAAAATGAGGAGATGGACTAGATCATCTCCAATGGCCTCTCCAGTTCTCAGATTCTGTGATTCTATAGCTAAGGCCTTTTAGCTTTTGGCCATACTATGTAAGGTTCTTAGGATGGTAGTTATAATATAGACAGATATCTTTAAGATTGCAAAATGAATTTCTAAATTTCTCTATGCCTTCACATGGGTTGTACGAGTTATTGAGAATGCCGTGGGAATAATAAACTCATTTAAAAAATAGGTTCATAGTTTGGGGTAGCCATAGAGATAATTCAGAAATAACGCTGAGGTCAGGTGCAGTGGCTCATGCCTGTAATCCCAACACTTTGGGAAGCCAAGGCAGGAGGATTGCTTGAGCCCACGAGGTCGAGGCCACAGTGAGCCATCATTGTGCCATTGCACTCCAGCCTGGGCTGAAAGATGATTTTCATAGGTACAGACTAAGTGGTGAAAGGGTCTCTTTTAATGGTCCATAGCCTAAGTAGACTGATGCAACTAGTTGATTTCAAATAATGTTTTTAGTTTTCAAATATTCCAGTTGGCATAAAAATTATAAAAACCGACTTACTTCCCCATACTGAGAAAAAGTCACTTCACATTTACTACTTATCCCCTCTTCAGGAGCAACCTATTTCTAAAAAAAAAAAAAACAAGCATATGTGTGTGTTTGTGTGTTTCTGAAAACTCAGCAGTACAGGAGCAGCAGAGTGCAATATTAGAATAAATGAAGTAGTTTCCTTTTATCAACTAAAATCAAACAAACCAAAAAAGACATGTGACTCGTGGTATTTCCATTGACCGACTGTCTCATGGTCAAAGTACTAGGAATAACTCTAAAGGTAAAGGAAGCAGGGGAGAGGACTCCATAGATAGTCATTAATTTAAAGGCTGCTGTTTCTCTAAAGTGGAAGCCATGTCTTTATAGATTCCTTCACAGTTCAGCCTTGTCCTTTATTTATGTTTTTTGTTGTTGTTTTTTTTTTTGTTTTGTTTTTTGTTTTTTTGTCTCTTTGACCAGAGAAAAATCAGGTCTTATGGAGACAGCTTATCTCATCAGGACAAAGTATTTCTGTAATAAAATCAAAGACTCATAAAAACCACAGAGTTAGGAGGAGCCATTGACTCACCACTCTGGTAAAAGCAGCCACACCCTTTCAAATGTGGTCTTTGTTAGAACTTGCTCTTTTTTTCTTGGTGGAGAACTTGATAGAGGAGAGACCAAACAGAAACTTTTCTTTCGTTAGCAGGCCTTCCGGCACTCAAGAACCATGGAAATTAGGAAGAGTTGTTCCGACAAGAAAATGCAGAGGATTCAGTTCTTATGAATCTGAATTTCTGATTACGCCCAATTTTTAAAACTTGGAATTAGTTGACCTTTTACAGTGTTAACCTCTATTTCTTAATTTTTATTTTGTGACAGAAAATCTCTAACTTGAACAAATTGTGAGAAAAACAAGCCTGTGTCCCTAAAAAATCTGAAATGTAAAAAGACATGCAGTATTATTAGTTGCAAGCTGGGCTAACAAACATTGAAAGGTCCTGGTTTATTATGCACATTGATTTGTAATTATTATATTGAAATATCACCCTAAACAAGATGTATTAATATTAATATCTTTTCCAGATGTATCCTTTTGTATAACCCTTTTCCTTCACCAAAAAAAAAAAAACAAACAAAAAAACAAATCCAAACAACCCATCCCTGACAGTAGGTATGTGGGTCTCCCTAAAACATGCAAACTCAGTGGGGCGCGGTGGCGCGCACCTATAATCCCAGCACTTTGGGAGGCTGAGGAGGGCAGATCACCTGAGGTCAGGAGTTGGAGATTAGCCTGGCCAATATGGTGAAACCACGTCTCTACCAAAAAAATACAAAAATTAGCTGAGCGTGGTGGCGTGTGCCTGTGATTCCGGCTACTCTGGAGGCTGAGGCAGGAGAATCACTTGAACCGAGGAATTGGAGGTTGCAAGTGAGCAGAGATGGCGCCCCTGCACTAAAGCCTGGGCAACAGAGCGAGACCTTGTTTCAAACAAACGCAAACTGCCATACACCCAAGCGATGCTGATGTCCCACCTTCTGCAACCAGCCATTTCTCACGCAGCCTGAAATCCCCACTCTTAGGTCACTCTGTTAGGTTAGAAAACAAAGGTAAAGGGGCCGGGAGCGGTGGCTCACGCCTATAATCCCAGCACTTTGGGAGGCCGAGGCGGGCGAATCACAAGGTCAGGAGAAGTGAGACCAGCCTGGCTAACACGGTGAAACCCCGTCTCTACACGAATTAGCCTGGCGCGATGGCAGGCGCCTGTAGTCCCAGCTACTCGGAAGGCTGAGGCAGGAGAATCACTTGAACACGGGCGGCAGAGGTTGCGGTGAGCCGAGACTGCGCCACTGAGCTCCAGCCTGGGCGACAGAGCGAGACTCCGTCTCAAAAAAAGAAAAAAAAAAAAAAGTAAACAAAGGTAAAGGCCTTGTCTTTAGGGCAACCCGATAGACCTTAAGGGCAGGCCAGAACTCCACGGCCTTCACCAATTTATTAAATATGAGAGTAAAAGAGACCTATTTACTTCAAAGCCCTCTTTAAATGGCGAGGTTACTGGGGCCCAGAAAATGAGTAATGATAGACTGGGTTCTGAGAAGTCCCACAGAGTTTGAACCTAACGGGACTCAATTCATTTTACCATTAATTAGTGTCCACCCCGTGATACAGATGGAGTTCTCTAAAGGAAACATCTGTGGTGAGCTATGGATGGTGAGGGAAGGGCTAAGATAGGCTTCACTGGGTGGCAAAGCTGTGACTCCGGGACTGTGTGTCACATTCTCCCCTAGGACTTAAAGATCGATCAGAAAACACCTTTGCGCGTCCTTCACCGAAGGCCCCTGGCTGTGCGAGCTCGCGTCATTCACTCCATGGAGACGCAGTACGTGGATGAGCACCACTTCCGCCTGCGCTTGAAAACTCAGGCCGGCACGTATCCTTCCACCTGCTGCACTGCCGCCATGAGCCAGAACCCTGTTGGAAAAGTTCATGCTGCCCTGGAAAACAGGGTCAGCTTGGTCTGGGAGGGATTCGGGAGAGGATTGTACTGCAGAAGAATATTTTTGTTTGTTTGTTCGATGTGTTTTTTTCCCACAAAATTTGTTTTTCAAAATGATTCTAAACACTGAGGTAGCAGTGAGTTCAATGTCAGCTTTAAAGTTATGTTTCCTGTAATTGCCGTGTCTTACACAGTGCTGAGCGCATAGTATTCAGAAAATACTTTTGATGGATTCATTTGCTGTCTTGACATTATTTGCAAGTCACATATTTATGACCATACTTGGGTCTTTTGAACATTTCAAGTATTTGCCTCGGATGATTAAACACAGGTAGTAGATGGGAATAGCACTACTTTACATCATGATCTTTTACTTGGCCACTGGCCTAGTACAACAGAGAATATCTTTGTCTACGTACCTTGTGAAAAAAACAAAACTAAAACGACTCAGATGACATATCATTATCACCATTTTCAGACTGCAAAGAGCTTTGACTGTATTACAGAAAGGTTGAGATTCAGAGTTAAAATATCCATAGTCCAAGGCTGATAATTTGTTCATAATCTAACCTGACTTGTATGATTTTTGTATCAGAACTGAGTCGCTGATTAAAATATATCAGGGAGCTCTAACAGGCTTAGCTTTAGTTTAGTTTTTGAAGGTCTTCCTAGTTTTTGTTTGCTTCTTGGTTTTATATTATTATGTGATCCAATAGCATGAAGTGACAAAATGCCTTCTAACTGGTATAGAACTAATGATGTACTATTGTATGTGTGTGTATATATGTAACACATATATACACACACACTATATATATATAGAAAAAAAGCAAGTTTTAATTACCAAATACCATTCTTACTATATTGCTGTAACTAGTCTGCCTGCCCTTCCCCACCAACCTGCATTCACTTCTTCCCCTGCACTACCCTAGGACCTGGATTTACTCAGCTAAGCCAAGTATAAGTTATCTACTCTTAAAATCTTCTAAATTTTGTAATTTGCATCAATTTCAATTTCGACTCCAGTGGATAGATCTTTGTATCTCTGTTGTTTGGAGCATATTTGCCTATTATGGATGGAATTTCAAATCACGTATATATTTTTAAAAAATCTTCTTACCTAATCCTGGCTTTTAGTTTTGGTGGGCCAAGGAGAAATGTCTTTTGTAGAATTTGATGTCTTTTCAATCCTATTAAAACATTCTTAGAACTACCCATGTACATGTACTTAAGGTATTAGCCAAGAAAAACTATGTGTTAAAGCTTTAGATGCCACATGGTTATACACAGAAGTATATGAATTTTTCACTTACTAAATTTACTTTATATATACCTTATATATTTACATCGATCAGTGCACTGAGATAGCTCATTTGACTTAAACCTTGTCCCTCTGGTTAGGAATAAGAACGTCTCTGGATGTGTTAACTGGTTATTCTGGGGCTATTTGGTTTTCTGTCTTCATCATTGCTACGCAAAAGGGGATTCTTTAAAGAAAATGAGAGACAATAAATAACAATTGTTGGGTAGTTGTGAGTTTATCAAAAAAGACAATTACTAGATAATTATATGTCTTGTGCTTTAGTCAAAACATTTGGCAAAGGTAGAGTGAGTAAAACGTTCAGACAGTGAGGACATAATATCAGTATATTATAGTATAGATTTTTCACCATCTAGAAACAAATTTGTTTCTCTATTCAAGTTCCATTAATTATGTTCTACTAAATGCTGGTTTGTAGAACAAAACATAATGCTGCATTTTTACTGAATGGTGGCAAAAACAAATCTTTTAGATAAATATTGTCAAAGCTGCAGTACAGTCCTGTGTAAGGAATGTTAATCTGAAAAACAAATTCTAGAATTAGTTATTGATTTCAAAATTTGAAGACCTATGAGGGAAATACGAAGTTGCCCCTTAAAAAAAGAGAGACAGAATTAACTTAGTTCTTTTGCTAACCATGTTAGCAAACTAGATGGTAGGTCTGAAGAGCCATCATTAAGACTAAACTAATAGTCTCATTATTCCTTCCATCCTATTGCCTCTGGGTCATGTTACAAGGAATGCCATCATTGAGATCACTCTGTGTGTGACTCTGTGGAAACGTACCATCTGGCAGGTGACAGTTGCCATTATTAAAAAATGGGACTAACAAGATGATAATACAGAAATTGTGGCCAAGTTGTTTTTTAATAAAAGCATTCAGCTATAGTTAATTTTTAAAATCCACATCCAAACCTTGGCACTTGGAGATGAGCTATAAAGAAAAAAGAAAGTAATGATTTTTGGTAAGTTTGATGTAAACACATTTCCCAGGCTCTGATGTTGGCTGCCAGACTACTAGGAACCACCTGGCCAAAGCTTTTTTTTTAAGACACACAAGTCAGAGCTCAGAAATAACCTCTCTTTTGTAACATTTCTGCTCTTATTATTTTTGCCTGTCAAACCTTACCAAATAGTTGGTACAGCATGCTGTCTTCATTTTTTCCTTAAACAAACCCCAGCTACATTAAAGAGTTTGTACATGGAGACTTCGGGAGAACCAAGCCAAACATTGGGTCCCTGATGAATGTGACCGCAGACATTCTTGAGCTGGATGTTGAGGTAAACCATTTATTATGGAATGCACATTGGCAAAGTGAATTCAACCAAAGTTATGCGCTTTGGCATTAAGCTGTTTTAGTACTACCCACCTCCATAGGTATTTGAGAATAGTGAAAATCTCACAGTAACATTGTATTGAAGGGCGGGACTGTCTTTGGATTTTTTTGTTTGTTTGTTTTTAATACGAGGTCTCATGTTCCTTGCAAATATATAGCTAATTTACTAACTGAGCTTTATCAAATCTAAACCCTTAAACCAAGCAAGGAAATAAAGTTGTAAGTGTTCTCCATATGTCCTTTGGACTCTAGAGAATTCATTCCCATACCTGTTGCATTTTATAGACTTTAAAGCAACCGATTCAGAAACATTGATTCACAAGGGTAGAAAGTGAGGTGAGCCAATGTTTCTTCATAAAAGCAGTTCTATAAGGACCCCTGTGATGTGGTTCAAGTTCTCTGCTCTTATAGTCTGAATTGAAATAAGGTTAAATTCTAAAATAATTGTAAGAATGGTTCTGTCGGGCAAGTCTCCATAAATATTTCATTTGAGTATCAGTAAGTGTTGAGTCACGAGTGGTGTTTCTTCATGAAAATCTGACTAGGAATAGAGTACCTCCCCCACTACTCTCCCCAGAATCTTAGGACTTGGGGATTTGTACTTGGGAATAATATCAAAGTTACAGAAAGAAGTGGGCATAGTTGCCCAATGTGAAAACATCTATGGTAATCAAATGATCACTGGAGTAGTATTTCCTTACCAGCAGTTCTCTTAAGTGCTCTGGGATTAGATTAGCTCCTGCAGTATAGCCAGTGATCGTGCCCTCAAGGTTGCAGGGAGCCTCTTCAGTGAAACGATCATTTGAAGGAAGACAACCTTCTGTTAAAGAAAAATCTCTACTCCATTCTTTTTTTTTTTTTTTTTTTTTGAGACAGGGTCTTGCTCTGTCACCCAGGCTGGAGTGCAGTGGTGCGATCACGGCTCACTACAACCCTGACCTCCCAGGCTCAAGCAGTCCTCCTGCCTCAGTCTCCCGAGTAGCTGGGACCACAGGCATGAGCCACTATGCCTGGCTTTTGTTGTTGTTGAGATGCGGTCTCACCATGTTGCCCAGGCTTGCATTAATCTTTTTTTTCCTTAATTCTCAGAACAGTTAGGAGTGTCAAAGACTCACAGGCCAGTGTTTCTCAACACTGACTGCCCACTGGAATCACTGTGGAGCTTTGTAAGCACTACAACATGCCTCCCTCCACACACACAGAGCTTGTGATCAGTCATGTTTTATTTTCAGCTTGAGAAAACACTCATTAATTTACATTTGGGTGTTTAGTATATGGCTATATTCTGAAACAGAACCAAAATATCTTCTTGAGATTTGTAAAAGACACGCACACACGTAGCTTGTAGGCTTTTCTAATAAATTTTTTTTGAAGCCAGTACATGAAGTCACTCATGGATTAATGAAGAAATTTTCAGTAAATAATTTCACGTTTTAAACTTTAAATGTCAATAAAAACCACAGATACAGTGGGTTTTTTTTTTGTTTTGTTTTAACTTTCTCTTAAAGTAGATCCTCTAGCCTTTGATAGACCTGGTATGTGTTTATGTGGAGACAAATAGTCTGTTTACTGTAATTTCATTCTGACTCAAAGGTCAAGGTTTTGTCCTAGAAGAACAAAATAAAGGTAAGTAGAGATAGATGAACTGGATTTTAAAGAAACAGAAATTCTACAGAAGTGAAGCACAAAGATCCTTAATCCTTTTCTAGTTCCAGATCATCTTTCATAATCATTTATTTCACATTTTGTTGCTATGTTGCAAACAAGACTTATAGGCGTATAGACTACTTGAATATTTGTTCAATGCAAGATGAGAGAATGAAAATGATCAGAAGAATGAAAGTTTCTGAGACTTCTGAGGGAAAATTGGTGTAGTCACTTGAATTTGTTTGCTACTTTGACCCATAAATACCATTTTTTTTTTTTTTTTTTTGAGATGGAGTCTCATTCTGTCGCCCAGGCTGGAGTGCCGTGGCATGATTTTGGCTCACTGCAACCTCTGCCTCCTGGGCTCAAGCTATTCTCCTGCCTCAGCCTCCCGAGTAGCTGGGACTACAGGCATGTGCCACCATGCTCGGCTAAATTTTGTATTTTTAGTAGAGACAGGGTTTCACCATGCTGGCCAGGCTGGTCTTGAACTCTTGACCATGAGTGATCTGCCCACCTCGGCCTCCCAAAGTGCTGGGATTAAAGGTGTGAGCCACCACGTCTGGCCCCATAAATACCATTTAAAAATTTTAAATGTATTCTCTTGTCAGTCAAAAAGCACAATTAATAACCAACTGAGTAGCCAAATACTGCTACTCAATTAATTCAGAAGATCTCAGGTCCAAGAATCCCTAGAACAGACTTGACGGTGTTAATTTATGGTATTCAATAGCTCTTTTCTTCAAATGCAGTTTCTTCTGTTGCATTATATTAAAACTATTACATTTATACAGCATTACCAGCAAATGCTTACCACAACAGCAATATCTGTTTTAATGACTTCTTGTCTCCCTTCTAGTCTGTAGATGTTGACTGGCCACCTGCTCTGGATGACTAGCTTTCAAATTTGGAGACAAAGAGTAGGGTTTTCCTGGCATGGTGTGGACATCCACGGAGCACACGCCGTAAAATGGCTGTTTACCCACCATAACGGTGTCTTGGAAACCATTTGGATCATGTTGATCTATATAATTGTTAATTTGTTGTAACATCTCAGGATCTATATATGTGTATATTTTGTGTTAAATTGTTCCAAGGATGTCTTACGATTTTTCTCATTCCCTCTCTCACCCCCACAAACCAAACTATGAATAATGAAATAATTCTCCTTAATTCTTTCATTTAGAGAGATACACAAACAGAACACATTCTCTCTTAAGAAGCTTTAATTTCAGCAAGATTTCCCTCCACAAGAGACATACTACCTTTAAAATCATGTTCTAATTTTTAAAAATTATCTGAATAAAAGTTACATCTAGATTTATGCAGCATAATATCCTATAATATTCTAAGATTGCAAATGCAAATCTGACATTATTATTTTTCCCAGGAAGCCTCAAACGAGCTATTACCAATGAAGTACTTTTGGCTGTGATTTGTCGTAAATCTTAACCAAACTATGAATAATGAAATAATTCTCATTAATACTTTCATTAAGGAAGAATTTTGACAATCTAAAATTGTCAATACATTTTTCCTGTGGAGGGAAAGTAAAACCATAGGAACCAAGGCATGCCATGGTAGGAGCCTTTCATAAATCTTTTAAATAAGGAGAAACAAGTGCCTTTAATAACTTCAATCCCAGGGTTAAGAATTTGAAAAATTGAGAATGCTAAACAAAGAGGAACTGATATTATTTCAGAATACTTCAATATATTATCCAATTATAAACATTTTAATGATACCTTATTAAAGTAGATAGGATATTGTCTCCATTTTATAAATATGGAAACCAAAGACTAGAAGTTAAATGACTTATCCAAAATTGTTAGCTACTTCTATATTGAGGACTAGAACTGAAGTTTCTTGGTCTCCAGGGTCTTTCTAATAAGCCCTATTATTGAACACCTGTTTGTGTGAAGGGGCAGCTATGGATGCCATTTAAACTCACGTAACTGAGAATTAACTTTTGGAATGTAGTTACCAAATCAAAGAGCTCACCAAAAAATAGCCCAAGACTATTTAATGCAATCTTATATAGTTACCATTTGTTATTAAGTTAAAGCTCAGTTGGTATTACAAAGAGGAAAAACATTAAGCTAAACCTAAAAAAAATGAATGGGTCATTAAATTTCAGAAAGGAGCCTTATTACAATTTCAGATTTGAGTATAATTTCCATCACCCTAATTCAACTATTTGAGCTTTTTTTAAGAATACATGTAACTTGACTAGTATTAGATTACTCACCGTTTCCCATCTCTGTATTAAACATAAATTACAGATACCAAGATTCACTTTAGATATGAGGAAAATGGTTTTAATGGACACAAAGGAGTCAGCCACGTTGGAACCAACATGGTTTCATACCACGTTGAAACCATGTGTTTGATATGTGAATAACAGCAAATACTTTTTTCACTATTGTCAATGCCAATGCATTGAAATGCCCAGAAAATGAGAAAAGGATAACAAATAAACTTTTGATAAAAAGGTAAGATTTTCTGTGTGGATGTTTCTCAGTTTCTGGGAAAATTTTGCTACAAAAGAGACTTAAATAATTTAGGAGGCAGTCTTTCGCATGGTATTTTTGGCTTAGCTTTGAATTCAGTGGACCTGTAATGTGTAAGAATGAAGAACGTGCTTAGCAAACTGAAATGAGAAGACTTCTATTTCTTAAATTTCTATTCCTGAGATTATACAAAATTTCAAGCAAAGAGTAAGCATTAGCTTTAAATACTTCTTCCAAATGTTCATAGAATTTTGAGACAAAGATTGTAAAAAATTAATGTTTGTCTTTGTTTCAGGCAGAACTGGGAATATTAAGTAGTGAGAGTGCTACAATTTCCCTTTTGCCTACATAAAAGCATTTTAAAATTAGTTTTATGATTTCTTTGTAAGCTTTATTTAAATTCGAAGTCTTTTTCATAACACTTAGAGAAAGAGCCCTTTGTACTTCTTAGTATCTCTTTGTCCCAAATATAGTCTGTGGTTTATTTTAGGAAAAACATCAACTCTGGATACCTGGAAAAGTCAAGAGAAAATAAAATTGGCAAAATGAAAAATGTCCAAGTAAGATAACCGGTTACATTTGTGAGTTATGTGAAGTAAATTTAGAAGTTAGATTTCCATTTTCTAAGAGAAAAACATCTTACTTGGCAGATCTTTTCTTTTGGAGCTAATTATTCTTTAAGTCCACTTAAGAGAATGAACTTTGATATCAGCTTTTCTGATTTTTTAACAAAGGCTACCCTTGTTTATTATGAAAAATATTACTTTTATAATTCTATTTTGAATTTCTAAATTTTGAAATAATTCCAAACTTACAGGAAAAGTTGCAAAAAAAGTACAAAGAACCTTTTTCCCTGAGCCATGGAGTCAGTGATGCCCCATGATCTTAAAGGCTTCAGTGTGTCATTTCTACAAACCAGGACATTCTTTTACTTAACCACAACACAGTGATCAAAATCGGGAAATTAACACTGATATATTACCATCTAACCTACAGACCCTGTTCAAGTTGCCAGTTGTCCCATCAATGTCCTTCATAGTCAAGTGCTCACATTGCATTTTGTTATATCTCTTTAGTCTCCACCACTCTTACAAGTTTGTCTTTCTTGACTTTAATTACTTTAACATTTTTTAAGATTTCAGGTCAGTTATTTTGTAGACCGTTCCTCAATTTGGGTTTGCCTGATGTTTCCTTTTTATTAGATTCAGATTGTACCTTTTTGGCAAGAAAACCACAAAAGAGAGATTGTCTTCTTCTTGCATCTTATCAGGCGTCACACAGTTTTGATTTGTCCAGTTTATTTCCTCTGGACTAACCCTGCAAAGGGCTTTTTCTCTAAGATCTGATCTCTTTTAGCAGAAAATGGTATTTAGAAACCAAGATCTGGGCAGTAGGCATGCTCATTGTTTTGTGCCATTGTTGTTTCCAAGCCCTCTCATGGAACAGAGCTAGGGAACAAACATGAATGCATGTGCATGCACACACACACACACATACACATACACCTATACATCTCTGTATCTACACATACTGAAATCTGTAAGAGTTTATACCAGTACTTCCAATTCCAACCTCATTCTAGTTTTCGCCCTTTCCAAATTTGTAATTCTCTTCTCTGACTATAAGAAATCTGGCTCCTGCTTTTTCCCTGCCGCCACCGAGTTGTATAGAGGTGGAGTCTCGGGTGCATTCAAGATTTGGCTTCACTCGTAACCCACTGCCATGGCGGAGGAAGGCAGTGCTGCTGGAGGTGCAATGGACATTAATACTGTTTTACAGGAGGTGCTGAAGACCGCCGTCATCCATGATGGCCTAGCACGTGAAATTTGCAAAGCTGCCAAAGGCTTAGACAAGTGCCAAGCCCATCTTTGAGTGCTGTGTGTGCTTGCATCCAACTGTGATGAGCCTATGTATGTCCAGTTGGTGGAGGCCCTTTGTGCTGAACACCAAATCAACCTAATTAAGGTTGATGACAAGAAACTAGGAGAATGGGCAGGCCTCTGTAAAACTGACAGAGGGGAAACCCCGTAAAGTGGTTGGTTGAAGTTGTGTAGTAGTTAAGAACTATGGCAAGGAGTCTCAGGCCAAGGACGTCATTGAAGAGTACTTCAAATGCAAGAAATGAACAAATAAATTTTTGGCACACACACACACAGACACGCACTTAAAAAAAAAAGAAAAAAGAAAGAAAAAAGAAATTTGACTCAGTCCTCCTCAAAAATAACCAATCTATTGCTGCCTCATTATTCACAGTCCCCTCCCTGCTGCCCTCAGACGTTCTCCTCAGGCTCCACACTGCAGCCCTACACTAGGCCACTACCACTGCCCCCTGTGGTAACATCTTCTTGCACTTTGTACAGAACAAGCAAATGGCATTTGTCCTGAATTATTCAGGAAGGGAGGGAGACAGGTAGGAAGGAAGTCAGGAAGGCAGAAAATAAAAATCGTTTGATACCACAGAAATACGAAGGATCAAAGGAGATTATTAGGAACAATTATATATTATATGCCAACAATTGGATCACCTAGAAGTGGACAGATTTCCAGACGCATACAACCTACCAAGAATGAATCATAAACAGAAAATCTAAACAGACCAATAGCAAATAAGGGTCACCATTACTCTGAGGAGAGGACAGTAGGTAGGGAAGCAGTACAACTTTTAACTTGGAGCAAAACCATGCTCTAGGGAAACATTATTAGCATCCCCAGCAACAGCAGCAGCCATCGCTGCTGCCAATACCTGCAAATGGTAAAAAGGCCAGCAGCCAAAATGAAGGCTTGACTATTGACCCGAAGCATTTTAGGAAACCAGGAAAGAAGTCCTTCACCAAACAAAGCTATTTCTTTGTGGGAAGTGTTCCTTCTGACATCACTGAGGAGGAAATGAGGAAATGTGAGAAATACGGGAAGGCAATTTCACAGAAAGAGGATTTAAATAAACAAAAAGGAAAAATTAAAAAATTAAAAACAATAACAACAACAAAGAAACATGGGAAGGCAGGTGAGGTCTTCATAAGGATAAAGGCTTTGACTTTATGCACTTGGAAGCACAAACCCTAGCAGAGATTGCCAAAGTGGGTCTGGACAATATGCAGCTGTGTGCACTCTGCCTGCCACAGTGCATCCCTTACAGTCCGAAACCTTCTAACAAACTTTTGGAAGAAGCCTTTTCTTTATTTGGCCAGGTGGAGGGGGCTGTAGTCACTGTGGATGATCAAGGAAGGCCCTCAGGGAAAGGCACTGTTGAGTTCTCAGGGCAGCCAGTTGCTCAGAAAGTGCAGGCTGCTTCCTGCTAACCACATTTCCTCATCCTGCTACTGTGTAGCCCATAGGCTAATTAGGTGACAAAGAAGGACTTCCAGAAAAGCTGGTTGTAAAAAATCAGCAATTTCACAAGGAGTGAGAACAGCCACCCCAGTATGCACAGCATGGCTTTTGAATATGAGTATGCCATGCACTGGAGGGTGCTCACTGAGATGGAGAAGCAGCAGCAGGACGAAGTGGATCACAATATCAAGGAGGCTCATGAGAAGCTGGAGATGGAGATAGGGGTTGCTTGCCTTCATCAATGCCAGGTCATGCTAATGAGGCAGGATTTGATGAGGTGCCAAGAAGAGCTGTGGAGGATGGAAGAGCTGAACAACCAAGAGATGCAAAAACGACGGCAACTGGAGCCCATGCGAGAGGAGTGCAGGCACTAGAAGGAAGTGATGCACTGGTAATGGTAGGAAAGATTCACCAGAACCTTCTCTGATATGAGAGAGCAGGAGAGACAGCTGTGCCAGATGGCTGCGGGAGGTGCTACGGGCATAACAGAGGCACCATGCCCCCTGCTTCTGTGCCAGCTGTTACCCCAGCTCTTCCAGAACCTGAACCTATGATGCTAGTTGACCTCACCAACGATGGAATGCTTTGGCCAAGCTGCTGCAATGGAAGGAATTGGGGCAATTGGTGGAACTCCTCCTGCATTGAACTGTGCAACTCCTGAAGCTGAATTTCCTCCAAACACACGTTGCTGATACTAATAAAGTTATAGTGTCTAGTTCCTGAAAACCTTTAAGAGGACCCATTTGGACTAGCCAGAATTCTACCCTAGAAAAGTGAGATTCCTCCCGATAGTTAGGTCTACACTACCTACACTACTCTAGGGAGTATTTTGGAGGAAGAGAGCAAGGGAGGAGTGGTATTTAACAAACCAGTTCTGTGTGGTATACTGTTTAACTGAAAATTCTCTGTGGTGCATTACTGAAGTCTCAAATGCGACTGTTGAAGACCTGGGGGAACCACGGTGAAATGAATCCAGTTAGAGACCCATTAATCTTGATCATTCCTTTTTTCTCCATCCTGTTTCATTTGCTTTCTTATCCATACACTAACCAACCCCAGAGACACCACACATATACCACAAAAAACAAACCTCCTCCAATGCCCTTCGCCCCACTGCTCCATTCACTCCCAGGTGAGAACTCAGGCAAATGTCCACAGAGGTCACAAACAATGTACGTATAGTTCTTTTATATCCCATATATTATCCCTTCATGTCCTAAGGAAGACATTTTCTCTTAGAGATTCATTTCAGTATACCTTTTTAAAAATCTTGTGTTAACTTGCCTCAATCTTTTTCTTGGATGAGGACAACCCAGGAATGGCCCTTTTGTGTCTATGATGTTGCTATTCCCAGCTTTCCTTGATAGGCCTAGTACAGTCTTGGAAACAGGGTTGCTGGATGCTGAAGGTCTGAGAGCAGCTCTTAGCTTTGCCTATCTTACTTAGTAGTTATGCTGTGCATATTTAATTGATGTACTATGTTTGATTTGTTGCTAATACCTTAAATTTGAAGTTTTTCTGAGAAATGGAGCAGCAATGCAGCATCACTTGTTAAAATACATTTTAAGCCTTAAAAAAAAAAGGAGATTGAATCAGTAATCCCAGCACATTGGGAGGCTGAGGTGGGTAGATCACAAGGTCAAGAGATCGAAACCATCCTGGCCAACATGTTGAAACCCCGTCTCTACTAAAAATACAAAAATTAGCTGGGTGTTGTGGCGCGCACCTGTAGTCCCAGCTACTTGGGAGGCTGAGGCAAGAGAATCACTTGAACCCGGAAGGCAGAGGTTGTAGTGAGCCGAGATCGCGCCACTGTACTCCAGCCTGGTGAGAGAGCGAGACTCAGCCTCAAAATAAAAAAAGTCTCCTTTGGGTATATACCCAGTAATGGGATGGCTGGGTCATATGGTACATCTAGTTCTAGATCCTTGAGGAATCGCCATACTGTTTTCCATAATGGCTGGTTGAACTAGTTACAATCCACCAACAGTGTGAAGAGTGTTCTATTTCTCCACATCCTCTCCAGCACCTGTTGTTTTCCTGACTTTTTAATGATTGCCATTCTAACTGGTGTGAGATGGTATCTCATTGTGGTTTGATTTGCATTTCTCTGGATGGCCAGTGATGATGAGCATTTTTCATGTGTCTGTTGGCTTGTATGAATGTCTTCTTTTTGAGAAATGTCTGTTCATATCCTTTGCCCACTTTTTGATGGGTTTTGTTTTTTCTTGTGTATTGTTTGAGTTCTTTTATTGCCCTTTGTGAGTAGATTGCAACAATTTTCTCCCATTCTGTAGTTGCCTGTTCACTCTGATGGTAGTTTCTTTTGCTGGCAGAACAGCT